ATTAAATAAAACGATCAATGATAAGACGACCGTTATATTTTGATTCGATCTGTTTCCGTATGAATGTTCCATGATATTTGCCGTATACATACATCTGTGGATGTTTCTAAATTAGGAAATTCACCATTTTCATGTTTGAATATTGATGTCTACTAAAGGCTGTGCTAGAGGGGGCATAGACGGTTACATGCACTTTCCATAAAGAGGCTCAATCAAACCGAGCAAGCATATTTTAGTCGTTTTGGGGGTTTTTCAAAAAATAATAAAGGATCATACAAAACAAAGGGACTAACAAACATACTGTATTTGCAAAGGCCAGATGTATGTAGATTCTGAAATCGCATAGTCAAGAATTTGACAAACTGTGAAAATAAAATATTTTCAAAGTCTTCAATTTTACGTAAAACCCTTTGAAAAATATACTATTAAAAATTGGAAATAAAATGTTTCTGACAAAAGGGCCTCTTTGGGCAAATTTTGAAAAAAAATTTTTTATTTATTTTGACTTCGTTTCTGTGATTAATTTAAAAGGGAAAATAATGTTTGGGCATTTTTAAAGCTTTATAAAGCATTCTAAATTTAATTGTACACTGTTTGCTGATTAGGTACGTAAAATGTCTAATGTACACATTGTATGGGGCCGTACGTAAACCTTTAGTCCAACAAAGTTTTCTAATTGGTTCTAACAATGTGTATCTTTCCCGTGTCGAATCAATCCGAAAGAAAACTCTGAAAGAAAAATATCGTGAAAACTAGTTGACGTTAAACGCCACGGAGACAAGAAAAACGGCTATAGTATGAACTTGTCAGTGTACTTTTTAATTTCAGTATTACTGTCAAAGGCAAGATCTGCATTTTACATCAACAAAGATGGGGTAACTTTTGAATACTCACTGAACTTCCAGAATAAATGTCGATCACATATTGGCAGATTTGTTTTTCTTCCATGGATTGTCCATCGCTCAGTGCGCGGAGGAATGCGCGTTACGACCGAAGTGTGCAGCTTTGAATTATAGAAGGCGCGCCACAGTTTATGTGAAACTATTTTTTCTACCGCGGTTAAGAAGGTGGCACGCATATAGGAGATTTTGTATTTTCATGAGAACAGCAGAATATAAATGTTCAACAAGTAGGTTTAGTAAATACTTACTTTTTTGACAAAATTATAATCAAAACAAAATTCTTGTTGATACAGAGATATTTCGAAACGAGTCCCCACGAGAAACATTTCATCCTTCAATTAACGCTCCCCGTGGGGCTCGAACCTTCGACCTCCCGATCCGAAGGCGGACGCCTTAACCACTAGGTCAAGGGCACCGGTTATGTCAAAATGTAAAAAAAATGAAAGCACTTGGATACAGGAGGCCATGGTTAATCTATGCGTCCTTTTACTCAATACTTTTACTTTAAATTTTACATATTTTATACTATTTCAACAGAATCCATGTGGTACGTGCAGTGATGGGAGGTATGTGACACAAGCAGCCAGCAGTGTGTCATCCAAGGTAACATTGTTCTTAGTTTTATTTCTAGTAAACGGATATTTTGGCGTTTGCTTTCATCACATGTTTATTTAAAATAATATGAGTTGCGATAAACATAATATATTTTCTATTAACTACTAGTCAAAGAAAGCAAGCATTTGGCTAACATATATTTAAACTTGTTGAAACAGTATTGTTTTCAAAAACGAAATGACCTATTTATTTCACATCACCATTTTTGGACATTTTGCAGAACAGTGTTTGATCTCAAAAAATGAAAACGAAGATAGATGTAGTGCGATATGAATTTGATATGAAGCTTTTGGAAAAAAAAAAAAAAAAAAAACGAAAACGAGGCTAGATGTAAAACTTTTGGACCCGGGAAATGAAAAACGGGTCTATATGGGGTGTGATAATGATTGGATTTTTGGAGATGAAAACGAAAGATCGGCTCCAATAATAATTTTTATAAGGTGTGAAATAAAATGTACATATTACAATGCCATAAATTTTACATGTTACAACGTCATATATTTATGATGTCATATAATGTACCCATTACAATATCATAACTTCTACATATTACAATGTCATATCTTCTAAATGTTACAATGTCATATAATCTACATATTACAATGTCATATACATGTATTTATAATGCCATATAATTACATGTAATAAGGTGTGACGTTCATGGGCAGAATGTCATATAGCATAATATTTTACATGTTACAAGTTCTATATTCTACGCGTTTACAATTCCTATATTCTACATCTTTCAATTCTTGTATTCGCCCTACAATGTTAGACCTATATATTCTACATGTAACAGTGTCACATTTTCTACATGTTTAATATGATAATAAATTATTTGCCAAATATTAAACATGCCCTTTATTTAACTGTCAAAACATGTCCTTTACTCACATGAAAATTGAGTAATGTATGTTTTAAAAAGTTTTTTTTTCTTTCCAGAGTGTCAGCCTGCAACAGTTCCAGAAAATGGCTATATCTTAGGAAATGTTCACACAATTGGCGGGAAGATTAAATACGTTTGTACTGATAGCAACGAAGTTGTGAACGCTGTGTGTCTTAGCAACGGGCAATGGAGTGCGACCACAAACTGTACTACAGGTATTTTCCTCTTTGACATGTCGTTGATATTTGGTTATCCTCGAAAAATAATAAAAATCGTAAAGATATAGTAGTAAAACGATATGAATGCTATTATCGAAAAAGTCAATTTGAACAAAATAGGTAACCATATTAACAAAATAGTAACCACCAAAAGTGAATGCAAAAAATGGATATTTAATCAAGTAATTATAAATCAGTATTATTTGTTGTTGTTTTTGTTTTGTTGTTGTTTTTGGGGGTTTTTTTTGCTACTGGAAATGTGTGATACCCCACCCAATTCCAACATCTGTAAAAAATCTCACTGTTATATATCGGTTGAGTTTTTTCCAGATATGAATCAATGAAAATAATAGCACTGTTATTTATCAATACAGTTTTTTAAATCACCATTAATAGTGTACTGAATATTAGCAAAGAAAAAATTCCTAACCTAGCAATAATTTTAAGATATACCTGACAAAATTTTGTTTTTTGTTTTTTTTCTGAGTTATATTCTCGTGGCCACGAGATAGGAAAATAAAATAAAATCGGAATGTCCCCTCTGTACTTCCGTGAATACGTTATAACTTTTGGCCTAGAGATAGCAAATTTTGTTTTTTTCTGAGTTATAACTCGTGGGAACGAGATAGCGAATTTTTGCTGCTTTTTTTTCTGAGTTATAACTCGTGGCCACGAGAGAGGGATTTGTTTTTTTCTTAGTTGTATCCCGTGGGAACGAGATAGCATTTTGTTTTTTCGTTTTTTTTCTGAGTTACATCTCGTGGCCACGAGATAGGGATTGTTTGGGGGGTTGTTATATCTCGTGGCAACACGATAGCATTTTGTTTTTCTTTCGTGGCCACGAGATAGGAAAATAATATAAAATCGGAATGTCCCCTCTGTGCTTCCGTACCTCTGTGCTTCCGTGTAATTAACGTTATTTATTTATTGATTTCATAGCCAATTATTTAACTTGATATATAAACTAGAACCGTGGAGCGCAAATAAAGTAATTTACATTTAAGAATAGAAATATACCGGTTAAAATTAATACAATGAATCTAGCCCATTAATCCAATATTTATCTTATTCCTTTTGTGTTTAACATATATATTGTAACTGAATGTTTAAATATATAGAACTCGCTTGGTCAATAAACACGTGATAATATTATATAATAAAAATTATTATTGTAATAAAATGCATTAATTACTTTTTAACATAATGTATTTTAACGTTTACACCTACCTTGTTAAAAAATTAAATAAATATTGTGATACTCGCATATTTACATATCTATGCATATTTTACATTAGTCAAATGCTATATCTATACGTCATATATGTTATAATAGTACTATTAATAATTAATAACAAGTTTCACTTTATGCCTGCGAAAACTTTTGATATTGATGTATTAAATGCATCATAGTAACCTTGATCTAATGACACCAATGAGAATATCCATTTTATCCGACTTAAATCTACAAATTGATATCATTAGTTTCACAGAGTTACACTCCGTCGAAAATCACCGAACAAAGCAAACAACAAAAAACAAAACAAAAAAAAAACATCGAAAGTGTTGTCCAAAAATTACATTGTATTTTCCTGTGTGCAAAATATCTTTTTTTCAAAGACTTGCGCAGCATAGTTTTCTACCATGCATTTTGACAAGATTATGCTTCAAAATGATTTAAAGCTGCATGCCTGCAGATAAAGCAAAATATTTCAAGAAATCAAACTTGAGAAAAATGTACTAAAATTTTATGATCTGTAAAAAAATTCAAGATAAAAAAGTAATAAATTCATGTTATGCGCGATTAATGACCGATTTTGTACTATTTTTTGACCATATTCTACTCCGTTACTTACGCAGTAATGACCATTTTTGCATATTTTGACATCTTTTTAGTTATTTTCAAGGGTTGTTCTTGTCGTGTGCAATTTGTAAATTTTTTTCTCTGTTCACTTAACATTATTTCACTTATTAACACATTTTCAAATTTTTCGTGAAAATAAGAAGGAATCTGGTGGCGTGCTGCTTTAATCTTTCTAATCATGAATGATTTTTTCTGATCAGGTTGTGGAAGTGTCCCATCTATTCTTCATGGAACCATTGTACAAAGTAACCCCGCCGTGAGTGTAGCAACCGTGACATGTGACACTGGATACCTAGCAACCGTTGCTACCATCAACTGTACAGCTTCCGGCAACTGGGAGAATGTTTCGTGTGATCCGATATGTAATTTTACTTTTATAGAAAATAAATAAAAAATGTATCAATAGCATCTGTATCAACTAACTAATATTTAAAAAAAAATCTATAATGGCTTAATACACTATTTTGTAGTTATTCATTTTTTATGATTTGTAGAGAATAAATGTATGCTGAAATCTTATGGCAACAAGTAGATTTCAACAGATTAACAATGATTTTGTGCATGCTATACATTCTCTCAAAAAGAAATATACCAACATAATACTTTTATGCATGCATTTTGGAATTTTTCTCTTTTTTTAGCAGCCGAGATATAGATTTATACACTTTAAGCGTAATGCATCGCTAATTAATAATATGGACGGAATTCGTACAATTTTTACGAAAGACCGGTATAGCCATTTCAACTTCATGAATTCCCGATTTCATCTTCATGAATTCACAATTTCACGTTTTTAACATACATGAAGTCAACAATCTGTTGAAATTGTAAATTCGTTAATATGAAATAGTGAATTCATGAAATTGGTGAAGATAAAATCGTGAATTCACGGAGTTGAATTCGTGAACTTGAAATCGTGAATTCGTGAAGTTAAAATCGTAAATTCATGAAGTTAAAATCTTGAATTCGTGAAGTTGAAATCGTGATTTCATAAAGTTGAAGTCGTGAATTCGTGAAATTGAAATCGGGAATTCATGAAGATGAAATTGGGAATTCATGAAGTTGAAATGTCCCCACCGGTCTTTCGTAAATCTTCTATGCATTTTTTTATTTCTGTATTTAAAAAAGAAATTGTAAAAAAGCTTTATATTTTGTTAGAGTTGATCATAAAATTATTCATAAATGACAGACTGATTAATTGATCTAAACATGCTTGATATTTTCCATATATTATTCAGCTTGTGGTGTTCCACCTCCATTTTCTAACGGTAACATCGTATCTTACACGGGCACAGTTTACCTCGACACCGCGTCAGTCGTCTGCGATACAAACTTTGAGTCAAGTTCAGATACAATCAGTTGCTTGGATTCCGGAACCTGGGGAGATGTTAACTGCACTGCAATAGGTATATCTATATTCTAAATGGTAGAATTTAATATTTGATTGTTATTTAAAAAATTTTTTTAGTAAGCTTGAGTTCTATGGAGAAGTGATTTTATAATTTCTATAGGATTATTGGCCATAGTATTTTTCTGCTGTCTTTACCAAATCAACAAATGTTTTTATTTAAAAAAGGCCATGATCCCATTATGTTCAGGCATACTGCTTGCTTGGTGTTCCTTTTATTTACACTGTCCGCCCAATCACCGTTTCAAAGCGATACCCATCTGCGTTCCTTCACATGTATGTCTTTTATATTGTTACATGTTTGGTAACACGTTCTGTGATGTTCTCTCTTGTAAATTGTCGTCTGCGGTAAGTTTTTCCTTTTCATACCCTTATTTCCCATCCCCCACCATCCCAACCCACTGATCATTGGTACCCATCCACCGCAACTTCGTCTCTTTAATTCCCGTACCAGTCCAAAATGGCAACATTTTGAATTTAGAAACATCAAAAGATTTTTTTTTCATTTTTCATTCTACATAGTCCGTTGAATTAGATTTTTTAATTGTTCTGTACATGTATATCAAAATAAAGACAAACAGAATCCTTAAAGAATGATTAAAACGGTATAATTGAAAATGTTTCAGGCTCGGCTTGGTTAAGTCATTGACGTTACTGGTACTAGTATTTACAAGTTAACGTCCACGCCCCCTAGCATCGACTTAAACAGAATTCATCTTTTAAACATGTTGAATTATAAACTTCCGCAGACGTGTTCATACGAGGTTATCTTCAATGTGACATTTTTGTGCCATTCGATGAAAAACCTTGTAATTATCCGTTAATTTTAGTATACAAAGTTGTTGTCGATAATTATCTATACACAGAAGAATTAGCGTAATTGTACTCATTTTGACTATAATAGAAACATATCTGAGAATTAACGACAAAAACAATTCTCATGAAATTGCTTGGTTAATGAATGGGTTTATTGTTGTATTTTTTTCTTGTATTTTATTTTCAAAAATGAAAGACTCCATAAATGTAATTAATGGTGTATTCTGCTTATAATTGTATTGGCATAAATTCTGTTCAAATTACAAATAACAATTCTTATATCTGATGAATTTTAAATTCATAACTGATTCAGTCTTTTCAAAATACATCAGCAGACACCTTCATGCAAATTAGAATAAAATATCATACTTTATAATGTTAGATTGTGGAAGTGTACCGTCAATTCTGCATGGAACCATTGTACAAAGTAGCCCTGCCGTGGGTGTAGCAACTGTGACATGTGACACCGGATACCTAGCAACCGTTGCTACCATCAACTGTACAGCCTCGGGCGACTGGGAGAGTGCTTCCTGTGATCCGATATGTAATTTTACTTTTATAGTTAATAAGTCAGAAAAAAATCAATAGCATCTGTACAAACTTAACAAATATTAAAATCAGTAATAGCTCGATGCTATGGTGGCTGATTTGGAACGCCTTTGTGCATCGTGTTGTCGCTATCGACAACGCAACGCGCAAAGTGTACCAAATCAGCCACTATACGATACACTATTTTGTAATTATTTATTTATTATTTGTACTGTAGAGAATAAAATGGCATGTATGCAAAATCTTATGATGCTTTTTTGAGTAGGTTTTTTACCATATAACAATGATTTTGTGTATGCGCCATTCTATTGGAAGGCACTTTACTAATAAATGTCTTTCATGTAGGTATTTTCGAAAACAAAATTTTTAAATTTAAAACAAAATTTTGCAGGAAGCAGATATAGATACATATACATACACTTTAACTATAATGCATGCATTGTTTATTTATTACATCAACATTGAACAGGTCTGAATTCTAGCCATCCTCTATGCATTTTATTCTTCTTGTTCTATCTTTTAAAAACTGTAAAGAAAGCGTTATATTTTGTTAACGTTTATCATAAAATTAGTCATAAATGATAGACTGATTAATTGTTCTAAACATGCTTTATATTTTCCATGTGTTATTCAGCTTGTGGAGTCCCACCTCCAGTTACTAACGGTAACATCGTATCTTACACGGGCACCGTTTACCTTGACACCGCGTCAGTCGTCTGCGATACGAACTTTGAGTCCAGTTCAGATACGATCAGTTGCTTGGATTCCGGAACCTGGGGAGATGTTAGCTGTACTGCAATAGGTATAACTATATTCTATCATCGTTATTCAGATTTAAAATTTCAAAATTTGATTGTAATTCATTATTCTAAGAACAATTTTAATATTAGGTCTAAGCAAGCTTGATTTCGATTTCTATGGAGATGTGGTTTATAATTTCTATAGGAGCATTGGTCATAGTTTTTTTCTGCTGTCTTTACCAAATTAACAAATGTTTGATTAAAAGAGGCCATGTCAGATCTCATTATGGTCAGGCATACCACTTGGTTGCTCAACCCCTACGTAGCTTACCTCATTTTTTTACATTTGATGGATCAAGCGAGAGACTTATGATAAACAGGTCTTTAAAAAGTTGCCCCGTACTTAACTTCAGTGTTGTTATATTTTTCTGGTCCTTCGGGATCATTGATGCCAGCACTATTAAGTGTTGAGAATTGAGTACCGCTCAAGCCGGTGCTAGGGGGCGTGAGGGATGTTGCACTTATTCATTATCCCTCATGTACAGACAGACTCAATCAAACCGAGTCTGCAATTCTTATGTAATTTTGTTTTGATCAATGCTTCGGAGGGATCACTTTGTTTCCAGATTTTTATACTTCACAACAGCAAGTGTCAAGTGCCGTGTGGCAGCTGTAAAAAGTTGCCCCGTACTTAACTTCAGTGTTGTTATATTTTTCTGGTCCTTCGGGATCATTGATGCCAGCACTATTAAGTGTTGAGAATTGAGTACCGCTCAAGCCGGTGCAAGGGGGCGTGAGGGATGTTGCACTTATTCATTATCCCTCATGTACAGACAGACTCAATCAAACCGAGTCTGCAATTCTTATGTAATTTTGTTTTGATCAATGCTTCGGAGGGATCACTTTGTTTCCAGATTTTTTAATCTTTTGGGCCTGAATTAGTTTAAATTTCGGCTTCAGTCCTTTCATGTGGTTTCTTGTTGTTCTGCCTTCTTTTAAGGTATCGGGTACATTTATGGTCTGTGATTATATCTTATATCTATATTTACATTATCATTTCTGTGTTTTAGTTATTTCGTCTGATGTAAACATGAGAATTGTTTAAATTTCACTTGGCGTGGATTTCTTTTATATACACTGTGCGTATAGAACCGGTTTTAACTCCCTCACTCACTGGTGTAAGGCGGTGCGCCTCTGTGTTCCTTCACATGTACGTGTTGTAAATTGTTACACGTTTCGTAATATAACACGTTCTGTAGTTCTGTGGTGTTCTGTCTTGTAAATTGTCGTCGGCGTTAACTATTTCCTTTCCATTCCTGCTCATTTCCTATTTTAGCAACTCCACCCCACTCCCTGTTCCTTTTGTTCCCATCCACAGCTATCTTGTTCTTTTGATTCCTGTACCAATGACTTATGTTGAAATTTTGAGTTTAGAAACATTAAAATATTTTTATTTATAGTTCTACACATTCCCTTTAATTTGATACTTTAATTGTTATGTACATGTATATCAAAAAAAAAATACAGAACCCTTAAAGAACGCCCAAACGGGTAAAATTGAAAATGTTGCAGACTCGGTTTGATTGCTTATAATCGTATTTGCATCAATTCTGTTCTAATTACAAATAATAATTCTTATATCTGATGAATTTTAATTAATTTTCGCAACTGATTCAGGCTATTCAAAAAACATCTGCATACACTTTCATGTATTTTAGAATAAAATATCATACTTTAAAATGTTAGATTGTGGAACTGTCCCATCTATTCTTCATGGAACCATTGTACAAAGTAACCCTGCCGTGGGTGTAGCAACCGTGACATGTGACACCGGATACCTAGCAACCGTTGCTACCATCAACTGTGCATCCTCGGGCGACTGGGAGAGTGCTTCCTGTGATCCGATATGTAATTTGTTTTTTTCTTTTTTCATGTATATTTTTATCAGAAGAACACGTTGTTGTACAGTAATTATTCCAATTTATGCTCTACTCTTTCGCGATTCAAATTTAATATCAAAATACAAAATCTGATATTGTATGAATACTGAATGAAACTTACATACTCACATAGCATATTCATATGCGAAAAGTGTCGTCCATGACAGCCGTGTGAAAGTATAAATTTTCACTTGAATTGTTATAATTATATTCACACTGCCAGGGTTCCATATCTTTTCCTAAAGTGATAAAATGTATTAAGAATTAGGAATAATTTCTTATTTCACCATTCCAGTCATAAAATGCGTAAAAAGTAATCTAATTTATCATAAATCATTTAGCATGCGGCGTTCCACCTTCCGTGACGAACGGCAACGTCGACTCTTATACGGGCACCGTATACCAAGAGACCGCATCGATTTCCTGCAATACGAATTTCGAGGCAAGTGCAGACACAATCAGCTGCCAGGCTTCTGGTAACTGGGAAACAGTGGCATGCAATGCAGCAGGTACTGGAAATTTACCCTTATTATATACATTTGTATTTTTAGGTTCTTTAAAAAGGGACTCCATCGATTAAAATAGACATAACTTAGGCTAGATACACTGTATACAAACGTTAATTGCTTATAGAAATATACACGTAACAATATTCCAAATAGACACTCCAATAAAAAAGTCACGGTACTGTAGGCATTGTAATTACGATCAAGTGAAACGTTTCCGCAATGAAGTTATTAAATATTCATAGAACCTGCAAAATAAATAGATTTTGGTAATGTAGCTCTTATTTACTCTTTCCAATGCTGGGGTAAAATGTTCGTGACCAATAGGGATTCTGGTTTACAGTGTGATTCAGTATGGTAATCAAACTAGTTCTGATGGTCTGTAAAAGCATATGTATTATTATAAGTTATTTTCTTCTTTTGATATATTCATATATACACTGAATATTCATGATAAATTTACAGATTGTTACGTAAACAATGTTTGGGACTATGCTGGCACTAGAAATATAACACCGTCTGGCTACCCTTGTGACCTATGGACAAATCATATTGGTGATTATCGAGTCAACGTTGACTGGATGCCTGAGTCATCTATAGCAGATGCTAAAAATTACTGTCGACAACCATCTAGCTATTCCTGGAATATTTGGTGTTTCTCCACCCATCCGTCATATGAATATGAACTTTGCGGAATTTCGCAATGTTGATATTGCTAATTTATAGAAAAATGAAAATTGATAAAAAAATATGTTACAATGCAACTATTAATAACACACGTGTTGAATATTAGTTTTACTGGTTAAATAACCAAATTTCATCGATCGTAAGCTTATATAACAAAAAACAACCGTTTATACTATTGGTTATATAACATATATTCGCAGCAGCGTATGCTCAAATTAATTGCAGGTATGTTTTTGTTTTTCAAAAAAAAGGTTGACTTACAGTTGCAGTTTCATTTTCTTTGATATTTTTTATTTTGCGTATCAAGTGATAACATTTTGGTTTGTATAGCAATATTAACTGTGTCGTGTCAATAAACGTAGACTGTTTGAAGTTCTTGAGAAACTACATACTCGTAAGCAATGCTTGTAGTTCGGCGGTTTGTTTGTACGTGGCGTGCGTGCGGGTGAGAGTGCGTGCGGATGAGAGTGCGTGCGGATGAGAATTCATGTGGATGAGAGTGCGTGCGGATGAGAATGCGTGCGGATGTATTGGACGTGGGTTGTTGTTGTTTTTGTGTGGGGTGAATTTTTTATGTTTGTTTTTTGTTTGTTAGTTTGTTTGTTTGTGTGCATGTTTGTTTGTTGGTGTTTTATCATTATTAAATTTTTTTCATTAATCTATTTTTTTATTTCTCTCTTTTTTCTGAAACCGTTCTTTTCCATTGCAACAATTAATGCCGTTTAAATCGAAATGTTTAACAGTTCTTTATTTGAAAAATACCGGAATCAAACTTGTATATGCCATGCTTATACATTGAGGTTAAGATTTTTCGTATCAGGTATGCTTTTACATATCCAAATAACGTGCATTTTAGACCGATTTCGTATTTATAGTCTGTGTCACTATTTTGAGACTGTCGGGCTAGGCTCTCAACGCATGTAACACCGCACTTTACGGGTTGAACGCACTTTTCAACCTTTAAGTGCGTTGCGTTAAAATTCTTAATGGAAGCATTAACATTTATGTGCATCAATGAAAAGAGATTCTTTTTTTAAGTTACCATTAACAGTTTTTTGGTTGTTGTTGTTTTATGTGATAAAAAAGATTATTAAATTTGTGTAGCTTCACTACTCAATATATTGGACAAGTTGAATGAAATAACCTTATTTCGCCAGAGGCCGGCTTAGATAATTTTATTCAACTCTTTCAATAGCATTGAACATACACTCATTTAATAATAATTGATATAAAGTATATTTTAGACCGTTTCTCTATTTTACATGTTTTAATGAATATCACTTTGCTGCTAAGTTCAGGCTGCTAGACATGTTTAATCGCGTAATCCATCCGCTCATATTTATACGCAAATTTCTCACTCCACACCACCCCCACACCCACACAACAACAAAAAAGGAATCACAGATCATCTGCAAGCTTGCTGAACTGGTGACAGTCGGTCTATATTAAAGGAAAACGATATTTATAGATGGTGTGGAATTATTCTATACTTGCTATATGATCAATATCATATTGCCTCATCAAACGCAATTTTATTTGTCAAACGCTTGTCAATAAATGTGTACCTTCAAAGGGTCTCTTTTGATTCCTTAAATTTCATCTGAACCCCGGGCTCATGAACATTCATACCCCTATAAATGTATTTTGTAACGTCAAAAGGTTAAAATATGCTAAACATTTTATTTTGAATCCTGAAGTTCCCATTCCTAAATGATAGAAAACTAGTCCCTAGATCACTTACATAACATTAATTTTGACATAATACAAGCCATTTAACATGACATCAGATATTGCGATGTTTAACGGCAAAATAATTTGAGACATTTAGCGGCGGCTGAGACATTTAGCGGCGGTTGAGACATTTAGCGGCGGTTGCGACATTAAGCGTCGTTGCGACATATAATGGCAACACACTCAATAGGGATAGCAGACAAAAAAACTTGAAGATTGAGTATAATGATCTCAACTAGATATTGCATTGTTTAACGGTAAAATATTTTGAGACATTTAGCGGCGGTTGCGATATTCAGCGGCGGTGGCGATATTCAGCGGCGGTTGAAACAATTAGTGGCGGTTGAGACATTTAGATTGAATATAATGATCAGATGTGTCAGATGTGTTTTCTGTATTGATATAAGAAGCCACTCTGTAGACCATTTTGTTATTCCATGATTCTTTAGAAAAGACGTTTCCTTTTATCTATATGGGAGATTCGTTATATCAAGATTGGGACACAAAATATATTGCTACTTGTATGGAACAAATTTTCTCTGTTATAGATTCCTATATTTTGTGTTTTATTTTTTTTTTCTAAATAACCCTAAATGTCTCCCCGGTTGCATGTCCGTCGCATTCAGTGCTGCAGCACTTTGATTAATAAGACTATAACTAATAGTTGGCATAGAGTTCATTAGCAAGAGGTATAATTTGAAAACATTGCAATCAATAAATATATATTATTATACTCAAAGAAAATATGGCATAACGGTGGAATAAGAATAAGTACATTCCTTAACAACAAACGTCATTTCCTCTTTGATATTTTCTCGACCCCAATTTTCATTTGAAATTATACCTGAATATCACGAATGCTTTAAATGATTGGGATGATGACTTGGATAAAACATTTTAATCATATACATGTAGTTTGTTTACAATATATTCTTTACAAACATAGATTATACTTGAAGGCTTGAGCATTGATTGTATCTCGATGACTTATTGACGATATCTGACAAAGGAAACGTTAAAGGCATATTATTCTTCATCCAGTACTGTGCATAACCCGGTCTGGGCCTTTAACGTATAGGGAACCTCAGAAAGGAGCCAACCATTTAAACACCATTTGTCTCATTCCGTTGCAGATTCGATTTTGTATCCGTTTTGAGGGTCTTCCGGTCTTCCTTTCACCAAAAGAGGACCAAAGCCCTCACCCAAGTAATCTTTCCGGGAGATTTCCGCGTGGTGTGGACGTTTTATGGACCGACGCTTCGTACTTTCTGTATATAAATTGTATAAATTTTCGGAAAAAGCACCATTTTCTCGAGCCAACCATTCAATCACCATTTATCCGATTCCGTTGCGGATTCGATTTTGTGTCAATTTTGGAGTGTTTTCTTTGCAAAATGAAAGGGTCAAAGCCCTTATTCAAGTTCTAGTTTATTAATACAAATAACTACATGTATCCATTTTGATAGTAAATTGGTGTACCCACATATGGAACAAATCAGTCTGTTCATAATATTTATAAACATTGTATGCATATCCATACTCTATAATTATCTTTTATATATTTTATAACCTTCATTCTACAATTTTAATTTTAGTATTATATAATAAAAAGAATACATAGGCCGTGTGTTTACCATTTTATTTAAATCATTTACGTACTATATATGCTATAACAAGATATCCACACTCCTAATTTGTACGTCCTTACATAGGTAATATATTTTCATTAATTGCCCTGTGTTTATATTATTAATGTACCAATTAAAACGAGAATTATTAGCTGACATCACCTGTCTCGAGCTGCATGTAACACGTGTTCTCAGTTTGGAATAACACCAGAATTTCAGTCTTATAAAACTTCCCTAGAGAAGTAATTATGTCTTTGAATTTTCCTTAAAACAATAAAAGTAAAGAAAGTATATCATTGCGTATGTGATGAAAGAATGAACGATATAATTATGATAAATGTTCAAAGGTTTATTATGCCTTAGAAATGCTTTTATTTATATTTTTCAAAAGCTTTTTTATTTTGATGTACATGTAGTAATTTTTAGTAACCAAAAAATGACTTATTGGCCAATTACCTTAGCCTTTTTTTCTACTGTTGCCTTTTTAGCAATAAATCCAGGTAAAGTGATTTCGTACTTTGTATGCAAGTCAAAATACTAGTTTGGTTACATTCTGCTACATTTTAGAAATAACTTCATATTTATCGCAACTTTCTTCAGGTAGTAGCAATCATTTAACATTCCCTTAAACCAATATTAAAACATAATAAAAATTATGTTTGTCCTTTTTAAAGGAGTAAACAAATTGTTTCTGAGGTATAATGTGCCTTTAACATTCAAAAAATTGTGGTCATTTGTTTTCATACTTGTATTCGCTTGTTAATATAATGCTGCAATCACATACATGTATAAATACCATCCAGTTAAAAGCTTTGATTTGTACGATCAGATCATGCAGACCAGGCAGGAAGTTAAACAAACCACAGAGTCTACTGTCAACTCTATTAATTTAAACTGTTTCATCTCGTAATCATTTCAAATTTGTAAAATCTTTGCCATACTTATCTACAAAGCAACTTATTATTAAGGTATTATTTCCTTGTAATTTGTATCTAGTACATGTATTAGATCATCACCGAGCTGACCTTATGCAAACTACTTCTCTTGTCTGAAACTATATAATTTTGAATAAAAAGAATATAACACAGTTTTGTGAATATTTCGTTCCTGAAAACAGAGTAGTTCAATTTGAAATGCTTGAGTTCGAAAAAAAAAGTGGAAAATGTGGAAGATCCCTTGAGAACAGTGAAACGATGTTTAAAATTCAAAATTGCAGATTTGGTCTGATTTAGTCTGTCTGTTCATGATAGATAATACAAAGATACAAAGGGAAGCATATCTCACCCCCTGCCCCACTCCCAACACACACGCGCGCGCGCACTTTACATCGGCTCAAATATCTCTCAAGTCGTCTTGCACTGGCTCAAGCAACACATTAATGCGTTTGAGGAAGTAGGGCTTTGCGTCAAATTGAAATAAAGACACAAGACTATTTTTATCGGTGGTGGAACTGATTTAATTAGGATTGACATAGGAACAAACTTGTCATCACCAGTTTTTCAATATTCCAAAATGTCAATCATTTCATGTTGTGCCAAAATAACGTCAATAACGCCAAACAAAAAGAAAATTAGTATTTAATCATAAAGTACCTTTCGGTTTGTCATATCGCGCTAGAGTTTTCTTCTCGACTTTTTGTACTTTTTTCGATAAACTTACTTAAAAGTACAACTATTTCAATACTGATATATTGTCGTGATGTTGTCTTCATTAATTAAGAAAAAGGTGAAGGATGCCCTTCTGTTTTTAATATACATATGTAATCAAAACTTCATACCTAGAAGTGCGGCTCTGTACTCGCTGTTTTGTTGTACAGAATCCCACTGCAATATTGAGACAAAACTGCTTCCCGATATTGTTTTCTCAGTCAGGTTTTTCACTACCTTTCCGGTACTTATTAACCTTCCGCCGATTTCAAATCTTGCCGGTTTAATGACATCTTTTACCTTTTTGGAAACTTTTTTGAACTCTTCACTCTTCATATCTCCTTGAACTCTTACAATAGACATCGAGAACACATTTTCTCTAACGAAAGAAAGAAAATATTCCAAGCTACGTTTTTTAAAAATGTAAGTCTGA